TACCCAGTACTATTTTATTCTGACCAAAGGATTTAAACACATGAAAGCAAATATTAAGAGGTTTTTCTTTTTCTTGGGAAGTTGTACCTGACCGAGACGTGCTTCATTAGCCCTGCTACTGCTACCCTTGCTGTTAATTAGTACCACTCTTACCAGGAAAGCACCCTAATGAAAGAAGCCCGCTTAATTTTAAATGTACCTTAAAGCTGTGCCTGAGCATTTTCTTGACACCAGACCTATACGATCAAGTGCAGTCACTGCACTGGTCTGATACCCAAGCCAAAATGGATTTCAATGGCAGTGTAGTGGAGGGTGCACCCATGTTCAGATGTGGACAGAACTCCCTAGGAGAGCCTCAGTTAGCTTCCAGTGGGAGGATCTCGGCTACATGCCGACTTTATGGAAATGGGAGACTCCTCCCTAGTTGCTCCTGCAGCTGTTGGCTGAGGGCAAGTGAGACTCAGGGGGCACCTGAACCCCACGCCTCTGGCTTTAGGCCTGCCATGGATTTAGAAGTATCTGAATCCCCAAGCTGAAGAGTCTTTGGTGGTGGATACCTGCCGGTTGCAGCGCCACATCCGGCGTTTAAAGGACTCAGCTTTGCTCAGTCACAAGGACTCAGAACTGATCTGGCGAATTTGACCTGGACCACGAAAACATTTCCAAAACAATAAAAAACAAACCCTGTAGGATTCTGATGCAGACTGGAAGCACTGCTGCTTTCACCGCTCTCGCTAAGTTGGGGTTTGTTGCGGGGGCCTGCTTCCTCTGGGACTCTTCCCGGGCTGCTGCCAGCACCGCCACCCCGGGACCGGGGCAGGCAGCGGGAGGCGCAGAGGCCCCGCCCCTTCCCCTCTGACCCGCTGTCTCAGCGTTCCATCTTCCTGTTCCAAACCACGTGGGCGCGCTGGGCACTGCGGGGCATTGGCGCCGCCGCCGCGATCGCAGCAGCGGCTGGGGCGGCTGCCTGCCTGGCTGGGCGGCGGGATCATGGCGGGGCAGTCGTCCTCACTCAGCTACGTGGGCTGCAACTTCCTCCGGCAGAGGCTGGTGCTGGCCACGCTGAGCGGGAGGCCGGTGAAAATCCGCCAGATCCGGGCCAAGGAGGAGGATCCCGGCCTCAGAGGTATCTCCCTGCCCGGGGCGCAGCAGGGTGGGCATGATGTGGTGGCTTGCTTGGGGACAGGGGCGGCGGCTGCACTGAGAGCAGAGCGGGTGTGGGTGAGGGAGGAGGGGAGGCTGGGCTGGGTTTCTGCTTGGAAGCAGCATGGATGTGGGCTCAGCATTAGGGACACTCCCAGAGGCGCTTGCGGAGGAGGCGCCGCATCCCAAATGCTGCTGTGTGTCCGGGTGGAAGCCAGTTTCTTCTCAGTGGGGAGGGGAGCCTGCCCTTACCCCCATCAGGCTGCCAGGGACTTGGAGCTGTAGCTGACTCCCCCCGTGGTTGCAAAGAGCACACCGGGATCCAGATACTGCGCAGCCTTGGAGAGGGAGGGTGCTTCATGGCTTGTAGCTCTGGGTGCCACCAAGGACCTGAGGGTATTTCCTCATATTTGTTTATTTATGCGTGCTTTGGCAGCACTGCTGGAGTTGGAAGTGCCAGCGAAGTGCTCTTCCAGCGCTGTATCTTGTCATAGAATTATGGAGAAGTCAGGCTGGAAGGGACCCCCAGAGGTCATCTTGTCCCACCCCACCCCTTGCCTGAGGCAGGATCACTATGCAAACCATCCCATAACAAATGACAAGCACATGTTTTCAAGGATTCTTAGGGCTCCCAGAACATAAAGTGTCTCTGAGTTTACAGCGGAGCTATCCAGGAGGCAACAGCAGTCTGAGGGGAGCAAGGTTTGGCAAATCAAGCAAGCTCTTTTTTTTTTTTTTAAAGCTGCTGCATCCTAGTGAGGATGGACCGGCTCTGTTTCCAATCCCTTTCTCAGCAGAGCATAACGGGGTATGTTGATGGGCGAGCTTGCTCTGGCCTTATATACTTGTGAAATGTTTCAACAAATTGATGAGTGAGGTGAAGGGATTGTGAAATACAGTGCAAGTCAGTAGGAAATAAATACAGGTAACATGATTGCTTGGCAAGGGAAAGGGAGGCATTTTACTAAGGACATGATGAAATATAAGGTCCTTTAATTATAGATGTGTTGCTTCTACTTATTCCCACCCTCCCCCCATATGTTTCTATCGAACTTGCACCTGAAACCTTAAGCAACTGCTGACAGATTTCTTTCCAGAAACAGAGGGTGATAAAACAGCCCTTTATTTTTGGCAGCTTCTTGTGTTGCAGCCTTGTCAGATATGTTAATTTACATTGAGCTCTTTCAGATTATTTGATTGGCACATTTCCTTCTCAGGCTCAACCCTTGACTTCTGCCAGAATGCCTTGTCCGGCTGAACTGCTGTTATATCTGCACATCAGGGCAGAGTGCTTTGTCATGACTGGGAAGCTGGAGAACCTTAGTGAAATGCCAGGCATGTTACTGGCTTCCGAATTAGCTTGGGAAAGAGGTTTGAGCATCACTTTGCACAGTACAAAGAACAAATCTGTTTAATGTGCAGCCATGCTTGGAATTCCCCAAATTGAGGTGACAAATAAGGCAGAAAATGTGGTAAGATTATTGAGTAAACTGGTGTTTTTACAGGAAACTTCAAGAGAATTAGGTGGTTAATTTCCACCAATATTCCTTGAGATTGGGATGCCTACAGAATATCTTGGGGTTTTCTTGGAAAATCCCAACCTAAATCAGTCAATGACTACTGCCTGGAATACTGTATTCAGTTCTCATCTCCTTACATTAAAAGAAGATGAGGTAGAGAGAAACTTCCATATGGGTGAAAATCGAAAGCACGAGCCTGCATAGTTTAGAGGGGAGATGCTATAGAAATGTGCAGGAGAAGAGGTAGACAGGGCAAACTTCTACAGGATACAGCAGGTGGACCTGTGTCTGCCTCAGGCTTCACATGATGAGGAGAACTGCTATGGTGTTGAAGTAGGGGGAATTTGCTATGGTTGCATCTTACATTAAAATCCATTACATTTTTCATTTGAGTTTTATTTGTCTGCCATGTAGCATGGCCTCCTCGTAACTGGCCATATTTGTTAGGCAGACTTTGAGAGCAGATTTAAGGCAGCTGATTATCCTGGCTTCTTCATTTACATTCAGCTTGGTTCCCCTCCCTAGTTTGTCTATCCTTTTTGGTTTCTTACAGCAGGGTCTTACTGCAAAGTCTTATCAGGGACTGCTGGTTAGTTCTGGCCCTCCAGACAATGGAAGTTCATTCTGTCTGTGTTATGGCTTTTGCTACTGTGGCAAAATTAGCTGACACTGTGGAAAAAGTGGGTGTATCAGGGATGAATCTGGTTTCTAGTACCCTGATTAAACTATAAGCAAACCTGGCTTCTTAGCTCTGAGGTTGATTTGTATTAATAGAGGACTGAATATTCTGCTTTAGGATGTCTTTGATTTCTGGAGTTTTTGCCCAAAGGGTTGCATTCAGCCTAAATAGATTGACAAGAATGGGGATCAAGGTGTGGAAACCTTCATTTCAGAAGGCTTCCTACAGTGGATAGAGCTTTGAGAGGGAACCACAAGCTCTTTAGGTCAGCAGTTGGAGAGCAACCGAATGTTTAAAGGTCTGGAGCAAGAGTGCTCAATGCCCAGTCTGCAGGCCAGATCTGGCCCCCAGTGCCAAGGCATCCAGCCGTCACCCTGCTTCCTTTTTGCCAAATTTGCGGACCCATGGGGAACCCCGAAGGCTGGATAACTTGGCCCCATGCACTAGGTTGGGCCCTGTACTGCCCCATGCAACCAATCATGGCACTTGGGGCCCCAGGGCCTGATCCTGGCATGTAGGAGCAGCCCCTGCCACTCATCTGGCCTGTAGGGCCAGAAGATCAAGCACCACTGATGTAGAGCAGTGCTTCTCAAACTTTTTAGACCCAGGACACCCATCAGAAAATGTCAACTCTTAGTTTTCACTCATTTTTTGACTACAGGAAAATAATAGAGCAATTTTGTTTGCAAAGAACTCAAAGATCAGAACAGGTCAGAATGTTTTTAACAATATGGACCCCTGTCTGAAATCTCTGGGTTTATCTTGTGAATCATGTTTGAACACCTAACAGTGCTAATGTTGCATGGCACCCTTAAAAGGATCTCAAGACACCTCAGGGTGGTGTGGCACCCTGGCTAAGAATCACTGATTTGAAAAATATGATGCGAGGAAAGACTGCAAGAACCAGGACTATGTAGTCTAGAAAAAAGAAGACGGAATGGGATCTGATAAGTCTTCAAAGGCTGTTATAGAGAAGAGGGTGATCAGTTTTTCTCTGCCTGCTGGGGACAGGACAGTCCTTAATGACTTTAAATTACAACAAGAGAGATTTAAGTTAGATATTAGGAAGAACTTGCAAACTGTGAGTGGTTAGCACTGAAACATATTACTTAGAGAGGCTGCTGAATCTCCATCACTGGAAACTTTCAAGTGATGGTTAGACAAACATCTATCTGGGATGGTTAAGAGATGAGTCTTCCTATCTTGACCCAAGACATGAACTAGATGGTCCCTTCCACCATCTTTCTCTGTGATTCCATAGGACTACAGAGATAATACCATCTAACGTTACTTCTGTTCTACTGAATGTTTTGTTTATGGAAAATCTGAGGCAAGGTGCACGTAGTTAAAAAAGATCTACTTCCATTTGATTGTCTTTGGTTTTCTTTGGCCTCTGTGAAACAAATTTGTGAGAACCTGTTTCCATTTAGTTCCTAGTCCAGATCATGATAAAAGCTACTGCATTTAGTTGTGTTAACGTCTTGTAATATTCCTAGCTGAGAAGTCAATAGTTTAATCTTCTTGGAGCTACACTCTCCCACAGAAGCAATTCCTTTCCTCTTCTGTCAAGGTAGAGGTACACTCTGCAGGTTTCACCATACTATTCGGACAACTACTACTGTGCCTGCCTGCTAATAATGAGAAAACTTTAGGTCATGGGCAATCAACCATATATTTTGCAAAGCCAATACGTTCCCATACGTGGGTACTCAGTTTAAATCAGGGGCAGGCAATTATTTCAGGTGGAGGGCCGCTTATTGAGTTTTGGCAAGCCATCAAGGGCTGCATGACAGGCAGCCAGGGGCAGATAAATATTAATTTTCTAATTTTTTTAGGGGCCCTGCGGGCTGGATAGAATGGCCTGGTCGGCTGCATTTGACCCGTGGGCCTCATTTTGCCTGCCTCTGGTTTAAATGCTATGAGACTGTAAGTTAATTATTACAGTAAGGGGATTCATTGTTGGGTGGCAGAATTCACAGATTTTATTGCCACTTTTTTCCCTTCAGTATGGGTTAACATTCAAACTGTGGCTACTGCCAAAATGTGTTCAAATTGTAAACTACATATGATTTTTGTTTGTTTGTTTGCTGTTCGTGACTTGGATATTTTGCAAGTAAAACCTTGTTTGTGAGACTGCAAGTACTTGCAATCTGTTTGGAGAACAAGGACATGCATTTGCTTTGGAAATGATCACTGGGCCATTTTGGCTAGCTTTGAGTTCAGGAGCAATCCAATCAGAGAACAGAACTAATGTGTTCTGTACAGGGTCCACCTGTAATGTGAAAATACAGTCAATGAACAGCAAATAATCCACCGGTTTAAGTGTTTGCAAAAACTAATAAATAATACAGTAGAAAGCAAAATGCTATCGATTGGATTGCTAACTCAAGAAATTGACCAAATTTTTTAAGTTCAACATGCCTTGGCATGGTATACTTCCTACCCCAAATTTGGGGAGCTTTCACAATAATTTTTTTGAACACTTCTCTCTTCTCCGTCGCTCTAGGAATCCACACCATGGAGAATTGAGCTGTATATTAAGTGGTATAGTACACAGACGAAACAAGTGGGGACAGATGGGAGAAGTACATACTTCTCTAATCTTTATGACAGCTGTTTCAGGCGGTGTTTTATAGAAACAGAATAAGAAAATCTTCTAGACGGACACCAATATTTCTATTAAATAGCTGTGTAGCAGCAGTGCATTGTATTGTGCAGCTGTCTTTGTAACAAAAGGTTGAAAAATCTTTTTTTTTTTTTTAAACAATGTAAAGCTTACAGGCAAGGTGGGGGTGATGGTTATTAACTTGCAGTACAAAGTTTACAAGGGGAAAACTTTTACAGATATATTGCTGTGTGTCATGATTTTTTCCTCAGGGGGAGCTTCCTAATATAAAGAATTTTAAAATCCTTCCTTTTTCTTCTCTCAACAGATTTTGAAGCAAGTTTTATACGGCTGATTGACAAAGTGACCAATGGCTCTAGAATTGAAATAAATCAAACAGGTGAGTGTCTCATCTTCTCTGTTCCTGTCTTCAGCGGTACAGACGGTCCTCAGACTTACAACACAATTGGTTCCTGAAAACCGCATCTTAAGTTGAAACACTGTAACTCGGAACTGATTTTCCCATAGGAAACAATGTTATAAGTGGGGGATTGGCTCCTGAACCAAGGCCCAATACCCTATTTTCACCAAGAATAACCTAGAATTTTGTACTTAGTCAATTATTGATGAGTAATATAGCTACATTAATGTATTTATATTGTAAATAGCAATCATATTGATTTGGAAGGACTTATTTGAGGTGATTTTGCTGGACTTTTTGAAGAGCTCTTGACTGGAGTCTTCTCAGGAGTCTTGGCTGCACGTTTTTGTGGAGTCTTGTCTGCTTTCTTAAAGAAAGTGTCGAAGCAAGTTTGGACAGATGTTCAACAGGAAGATGTGCAACGCAGTGAACTTGTTAACTGACCTGGCGTTGTGTCAGATCAAGTGTTGTAAAGTTGAAACAGTGTCAATGTATAAACCTTGTAAGTCGAGGACTGCTTGTATGTTACTTGCAATCGTGTAAACATGAACTGTTTGGGGGAGGCAGGCACGCAGGCTAGATGGTAGCTCCATTCTCAGATTATAGGTCAGAAACAGGGAGTAGTTGTTCATATCCCAGGAAGTCATTGTTCCACCAAAATGCAGTGTGTTAAGGAAAATATTTCTCAGAACTTGACCTTTTCAGGAGGAAAGAATAGGGTTGGTTTGTTTCAAAATTGTAATTGCTGTAGCCCTTCAAGGGTTTACCTATATCAGCAACTTTACCCTGGTATATTTACATCAGTGTTGGCGTGTGTGTGTCTATACACATGTATGTATGAGTATACATATGTGTGTGTGTGTGTGTGTGTGTGTGTGTGTGTACACACACATACGTATGCATGTGTGGGTATACGTGTGTGTGTGTGTGTGTGTGTGTATAATATGTGTCTGTGTATGTATGTATATGTACATATGTAGCTTCTTCCACCTCCCTACCAAGATAGGCAAAACTGGATTAAGTTGTTTCCAGTACAAATTCTGTTTGATACCAACAGTACATGTCCCATTTTCCTATACAAGTAGGAAAATGCTAATGTGCAGAAGCCCTGAGTCTCAGTGCTGACCCTATTTGTAATATAGTTCATTGAAGACGTGGTTGTCCTTTTTTTTTTTGGCATGAGTTCTAAAACTCAGACCCAGTTTGTTTGTGCCATTAAGGAACCCACTCCATAGAAATCAGTAGCGATATCCTTTAATCTGTATTTCAATTCTGTTAGCCCCCAACAACTATGAAACTTAAATAGTCACCTCTCTCTTCTTCCTCTGATCTGCAGCATGGTAGTGACCTTCCACTGCAAAGATGATTGTGTTTTTTAATGGAGAGGTGGAACAAGCATACTTCTTTTCCTCCCCTTAATAGTCCTCTTCATCTGGATTAGTAAATATGGTAGGGTTTGAAGAATAAAGTTCCTAGGATATGGCATTTGTGGTAGGGTCGCTTCCTTCTTTCCCTGAGTATTTGTCAGAAAAAGCCTTTTAGAAAGTTTCTAGAAGGGAGAACGAAGTCCTAATGTTTTAACTTCCATATCTGCCTTAATCCCTAGGCTAACTAAAGGCGCAAATGTCTTGTCCCATTGCCCTGCCCCAGAAGGCCAAGTCTACTGTTTACTCTGATCAGTGTCAAGAAAGGACGTAGATGTGGCCTGGATTCAGAAGTAATGTGCTTTGTTCAGGCTGCAGTGTTTGTCATGTGGAAGAGTCCACATGAACTGGGGGGGAAAAAAGGATTTTTTAGGAGACGGGGGTTTTAAAATGTTTATGTAAGTCCAAAAGAGGGTTTGGTGTTAGACAGAAACCATTCCCCCATAAAAAATTACGCTTTCTCTGTCTTGTTATAGGGGTGACTTCCTAGACTATGCCTCCCCTCAGCCCAGCCTTGCCAGTTTAACTTCAGTAGGAACTGTGCTTGTGTAAATATGGCACAGAATTAATGAAACAGGTGATCTCACAGCATACACTCCATCATGAATCTGCACTGCCACCTTTGGGACAGTAATAACATGGCTATCTTGGAAGGTGAAGGCATTCACTGGTCTCTGTCATGGTGACTAAGAAATTCCTTGATTGATGGGTAAAGCAGGTGCATGGCGCAAAAAATCTGACACCCCACGCCCCAGCTCCCGAGTGCTTAGGACTGCTGATTGAGTCACTGAGCTAAATGGGGTTGGGAGGAATTTACTGGAATTGATGCCTTGGCTGCTGTGGTAAATTCCTCTCTGTTTAGGCACTGTGGTGGGGATATTGCTGCAGAGCTGAGAGTCTGTTACTCTTTTTGTCTGTAGTGTGGCATTGATGCTTTGTTTTCTTCTGCCTTCTGTAGGAACCACATTATATTATCAACCCGGCCTTCTATATGGGGGTTCCTTGGAACATGACTGCAGCCCCAACCGTAGCATTGGTTATTATTTGGAAAGTCTGTTGTGCCTGGCACCTTTTGTGAAGCATCCATTAAGAATTATCCTCAGGGGAGTAACAAATGATCAAGTTGATCCTTCAGTAAGTAATGGAACTACATTAAGTTCCAAAACAATTCCTGCTTTTCTCCCTGTCCAAGTAACTCTTTAGACAATGTGTTTTTAAGTTGGATTGTCTGTGCTTCAAATGACATTATTGCATCTTGGGGAGGAGGGAAACCTTCCAGTTTATTAGTTTAAATTTCAGCCTCAATGCCCTTTCTGGTTGTTTTATGCTTTCTTTAGCAATGCTGCCCCATCACCCTCCCTTTTCTTTAGGCAATATGGTGGGTTATCATGCAACAGGGAAGCCTTATGCTGTAACGGAAAAGCAGAATGGCTCCTTAAGGGAAGGGTTTTTGTTAACTGGACAAAGGCAGCCAGGCAGGCTGGGGTTAATAAGCATTCTTGCCGGCAGGTTAGCTGAAAGGGCACATGACCAGAAGTGGGCAGGGCTCTGAGCCTATAAGCCCTGGCCAGACCAGGAGCCAACAGTCTGTCTTTGGAAATGGAAGGGAAAAGATCCCTGCAGGGCTCTTGGTGTGGGAGGTGCTGCCTGCTGAGGACAGATTGAGCATGGCATGCCTGGAAACAGCACAGAAGCCTGAGCTCTAAACAGAGGAGCTCCTGGCAGCAGAGTGTTAATGGCTCCGCAGATTCGGGAACAGGGGAAAGCTGCCCAGGACAGAGAGCTTGTTTGAGCAGGAAGGTGTTCCCTATTTAATGTTAAACCCAGAGAGCATTTGCGTGCCTGCCAGTGGGCATAGGTGTTTTGTTTTAAAACTACACCAGTGGTTTAGCCCTGAGCCCTGCTTGGGGCAGGCTTAAGGCCTACTCAGAGAACTGATGGCCTAGGAGGGGCTAAAATCCAGGGGGACCACAGCTGGAGACTGCTAGAGTTGGGGACCTCAACTGGTCCAGGAGCAGGGCCAGTGCCCAGGAGGGGCCAAAGTTCCAAGACGGACCATTGCCAGAGACTGGTGGGATCAGGGACCTGCAGTTAGGGAGGCAAGAGCCTAGAAGCCGGGTCTGATAGTACGGGCCTGGGCTGAAAGGCCCCACAAGATCAGCCTCCTCTCCTTATGCTAAGGCCAAGACCCCTTCAAGGCAAATGACTATAAAATAACATCTGCGAGGCTTGTGGCGTGGTGAAGGGCAGTGGTCACGAACCTGGGAATCCTGATCTACAGGTGGGTCCCGGAGCCTCTTTTGGTAGATTCTGAGCTAGGGGCACACCTGGGCATGTGCGCATGTGCACACCTGCTACCCCACAGCCCCAGCAAGTCAATCTGTTGGGGTGGGGTGTGCGGTAGATCCTTTAGTTCCAAAAAGTGATGTTCACTATAAAAAGATTGGAGACCACTGGTGTAGGAATAGAGCCACACAATTAGCCCTTAAAGCATTGACCATGAGCATCTGGTGGTCATTAGACTAAGATTTAGATTGGGAAGCCCTGGGGCATGGGTGACTGGTGTCTTCCAAGTCTGGGGGGGCAGGGAGGGGGTCCCATGGCCAATCGCCAGGCCAGTGACGAAACCAGAAGTGCACTTCTGCCAGCACTTCCAGTTTTGCAGCTGGTGCTTCCAGGGGGTGCACGGCTGATCTTAGGGGGTGCACGTGCACCTGTATGAACCCCCAATGCATCACCAATGCCCTCAGGCAGCCTCCTTTATCAAAACAAAACATCAAGGCATGGCAGGAAAGAAAAGGGGTGACTGCCCAAGGAGAGCTGAGTGAGCAAGAACTCCAGGTGCTTCATAGCCATCCCTGGAGGGCTCCTTGTTACATACCATTACATGATGCCTGGTTACTTGATCCAACCAGCAAGCATAAATTTCCCAGCTGGGACTTGATGACAAGTCAACATACTACTCTTGACAAAGTTGTAAGGCCAGATAGGGGTTAATGGTACTTGCACCTTCTAGATAGGTTTGAAAATCGTGCCAGGCAGCTACCTGTACCTTTAGTTATCTAGATATCCATAAGAATCTGCCCTATAATCCAGGTTTCTTGAGGGTCAGGGTACATTTTTGAGAGAGGGATCATGTAGGATGCCATGAGTAGTTGATAAACATTATTTCTCTACAGAAGTATATTCTGCATCCTTACTGTGTTATGCTTTCAGTAAACACAGCAGCAGCTGTGGAGGTTAGTGCAGTTGTTTCATTGCTTGACCTCGGCTGCTGATGTGTCCCCAGTGGGCCTCTGTACCTGGGATTTTTGGCCTTTTCGTACCCTACCCCTGAATTTTTAGTGCTTCTGGGAGCCTTGTGGGCCAGATGACACAGCTCTGTGACCCACAGACTGTACATTTAACACCCATCATGTAAACAGATTTGTAACACTGAAAATTGTCTAGTCTTGTGAGATCGTCTCATAATGGTATTCCCCAATTTATTCTGCCAATAAACATGAAAGAATAAACAGGATAAAGACAGAAAGAATTATGGGAGGCTGGGAGGGAAAGATGGCTGGAACAAAGGGAAGAAAGGCTGGACTTTAAAGGTGGTGGGGATGAATAAATCAAAAATAGAGAAAACATGAGGAACGAAGGAGAAAGCACACTTGAGAAATTAGGTTTGGTTTAGTACAGGAAATGCAGCAGAAAAAACATAGTCTTAAGGGAAATTTGGAAAAAACAAAGAAATGGAGGCCAAGATAGAAATCAAAAAAGTGAAAGAAGAGAGAATAAAACAGAGGGAAACGTAATAGTATTTTCCACCCGCAACCCCCTTCTCAGCCCTTTCACCGAACATCTAATAAGAGGGGTTTAATTCTGCTTTGACACGTATAACTACCCTCAATTTATGGCTTCCTCCAAACTAGTATGTCCTTGCATCCTGCTCCAGACTCAAGTTTCTTCCAGGCCTGTGCTACAGCTTTCCTGAGCTGTCCTTGTAGGTTTCATGTTGGGCCCTGCCATTTGGCTCCCGCCAGCTTGCTTTCTTCATCCTGGAAGATCAGATGAGCTGATTCTCCAGAGCACTATAAAAGATGAAATTGTGCCTGAATCTTTTCTTTTTTTTGTGGTGGGGGTGAGGGAGGGAATGCATTTGAAACAGAAATCTTTCTTACTGTTTGCATTGGGCAGAATTACACTGATGTTAAAATGAAGCCCACAAACCATTTGAAACAAAGGTCATGCAACAGTAACTCAATTATAGCAGCAGAAGTATTGTGCATAATTTACTTAACTGCCTTCCAGTTACAAATCGGTTCACAGAAAGGAAACAGCCTGATTCTTCAGGGGGGAAAAAAGCTGAAAGGAACAAAGGTTCAAATAACTGAATGAAATTAACCATCGTTGCCCTGAACTGCATTTGTAATGGTTCACAGTCCTCCATTTTAATAGTCCCATTGCAGAAATGGGCTAAGGAAATCATATGGGTAAAATGCTGAGGTAATGTCCTTTTAAAAACTCCTAACTCTTGGGGAAGAGCGCTGGTATCTTCCTTTCAAATTTTGGTTGGAGGCTGCCTTCTTTGACTTCTCTGTCAACTGGAAATCTAGTTAGTTTAAAATAAAAAAGCTATTAATATATTTTCAGATGTTAGACCCCCTGCTGGCATTTACGGCTTTACAGCTTCATTTTCCTGTCATTTTAAAATGTGTTCTTTCCTCTATTCCTTTGTAAAGCACCCACACAAAACTGCTTATACACAAAGTACTGTCAAAACCAACAAAGTGAAATTGAAAAAAGGCATTTCTGTAATCTTTCAGATGCTGTAATTTTAGGTATTAATTGAAACAAGTTAATACCTATATAAAAGACTTCTTCAGTTGGCTATGTCCCGTTAGCTGTAATGGATAGGATTTTCCCTGTAGAATTCAATAGGTGAGAGCACTCCAACTTCATTGCTGTTTTCAAGTAAGTTTTGACACGCATCTAAACATTTAGGCTTGATTCTGCAAAATGTTTCTGGGCGTGTCTACGTGATAGATGCTTAATGCCCATTGGACTAATTCTGCTATGCATTATTTTTGTGGCTGGCAAAAACCATGCTAATGCACAGTAGATTAATCCAGTGGGCATTGAGAAGCATATAAAAAGCGTTCATCTGCACTAAAGCGCAGTAGCACCTGTTATTACAGGTACTAAACTTAATGCACTGTAATTATGGTATATTCATGAACGTGTTGATGTGCCCTCTATTCAGGCCTCCCCGTGGCCTCCCTTGTTTGCATTCAGATGCTGCACCTGCTCAACTATGCTTGGTCAAAATCAAAGTCTCTCAGTAAAATGCAAGCTCTCTGCCCAGATGTGCTGATCTTGGTTTAACTTGCATCTTGTAAGTTTAACTTACTTGGTAAATGTATCCATACAAGGCAGAGAGAAACTTATTTTATGTGTGTGCGCAAAGGATTTTGCAGTTGCCTAACTAAAATGATTTTAAATTATGCCTCTACTCAAACTAGTGCAACTGTGTACAGACTGAGCCTTGAATGCCCTAAAATATTGTCCTGCATGGCACTGCCTGCAAATGAAGGTAATTTTAGTTTTAAATGGACCTGATTTTGATCATTTTGTAGGCAGATAGTGTTTGAATTAACTTATACAATTCCTACACCAGTGATTTTCAACCAGGGTGCTGCAAGATCCCTTTTAAGTGTGTTATGGTGCCTGGCCCCTGTGTGAGGAAGTTGGTGCTCTCCTCCTCCAGTCCAGCACCTGTGCCAGCTACCCCAGCCTGTGGCTGCTCCTCTGAGGACTGACACTGTGGCTGCCCTCCCCCAGCACCTCTGGTGGGTGACCACCCCCACATTCCCAGCAAAATGCTCTGTTGCAGACAGGTGGACAGGAGGGCCAGTGAGAGGCTGAAGCTGTGCTTTCAGCCTGGTTCATCCCCTCCACTCCTCCCACAAGCCTGGGGCCAGTGGGAGGGACAGTGGGAGGCAGATGGCTCCAGCTGCCAGTGTGTGAGCCCCTGGAGGAATAGCTTTGTCAGCAGATAGTGCTATGGTGAAGGGTATAGACTGGGTGCAGGGAAGGGGCAGACAAGACCAGGGGACTCCAGTGTGAGGTCTTGCCCCTGCCACCCTTAC